GGGCCTCTCACTGCTGTGGCCTCTCCCGTTGCGGAGCACAGGCTCCGGACGCGCAGGCCCAGCGGCCATGGCTCACGGGCCCAGCCGCCCCGCGGCATGTGGGATCTTCCCGGACCGGGGCACGAACCCGTGTCCCCCGCATCGGCAGGTGGACTCTCAACCACTGCGCCACCAGGGAAGCCCCCTTCATTGTGTTTTTGATTTGAATTTCTCTGATAGCCCATGAAATGGAGCATCTTTTCATCTGCTTATTGGCTGTCTGTATATCTTCTTTGGAGAGATCTATTCAAGCCCTTTGCAGATTTTTAAATTGGGTTTTCCTTTTATTGTTGACTTATGTATTCTAGATACTAGACCCTTATATCTCATTTCTGATTTGCAAATATTTTCTGTCATTCTCTGGACTGTCTTTTCACTTTCTTGATGCTGTCCTTTGCTGTACAAAGTTTTAATGAAGTACAGTTTATCAGTTTTTTTCTTTGTTGCTTGTGCTTTTAGTGTCATATTTAAGAAACTGCTGAATTCAAGGTCACCAAGGTTTACCCCTTTTTTTTCCTTCTAGGAGTTTTATAGTTTTAACTCTTACATTTAGGTCTCTGACCCATTTTGAGTTAATTCTTGTATATGGTGTGAGGTAGGGGGCCAACCTCATTCTTTTGTGTGTGGCTGTCCATTTGTCCCAGCACTACTTTTTGGAAAGTCTGTTATTTTCCTGTTGAATCATCCCGGCACCCTAGTTGGCCATCCTCATTTTAACGTGTCACTGACAATCGGTGATTTCGGTGTCAGTGTGTATTAACCTTAGTTTACATGCTTGGTCCTCAGTCTATTGCTGTGACTTGTCAGAAGAAATCGTACTGAGCCCAAGGTACCTGTGTTAATGTTGGTTTAAAATTCATGATATCATTTGCTTTATATTGCATGGGGTGAGGATTTAATGTGATAATTTTCCTGGAGGAAGTAAAAAGTGAACTAATCTGAAGAGTGATTTCACTTTGTGGTCATTAATTTGTGTTAATATCTAGTTAATATCTAATCACATTCTCTCTAACAGCTTTTATAAGGTGGTAGTTGTCGGATGGATTGTACTGAAGTCCTTACACGATGCCCTTATTGACACTTTCTCCAGCTCCCAGCTTTGCCCCTTCCTGCTGTAGAGTACAGCTCTTCTCTCCAGGGCTAAAGGAAGCAGGAAACTTTCCCTCAGTGCCCAGCTAGATGCAGCTGCCATTTCATTACTCTCTTACAGCAGCAGTTACACAAAGCATTTCTGTAGGTGAACAATTACTCTACTTCCAAACTGTCTTAAGAGTCAGTGATCAGAACAGCAACTGCATTCTTCCAGTTCCATCCTTCTAAAACCTCTGTCACTCTCTGGGCACAGAGCAGTTGGGCTGGGCAGTGAAAGTTTTTTCTCCCCACTGTGGAAACTCTCCTTCTGTAGGTTTACATTAGGAAATGTTCAACCTGCACAAGACTCCAGAGGAGTATTTAAGAAATTAATGTAAAAGGCCGTTGCACTGAGAATGACCTTTCTTTACCTTTATAATGAGTTTTCTCCAGTGAGGAATATCACGAGCACTAATTTTCATTGCCAGTCACCAGGTAGCCATCTTTCCCAGGCAGCCCAAACAGGCCCTTCCTGGCCCATCTCCCTCTTGCCTCCAGGCTTGTTCTGGTGCAGTTGCTGACTATTTCAGTGGGCTCCACTTCCCTCGTGTTATCCTCAAGGAGCTTGAGTTCTGGTAACATGGCCCGAGACTGAACAGAGAATGTTTTTTTTCCCCCAACTAACGAAGAACTCTCAGCTACCTTGACAGCTGGCTAGTCAAATTTTTAGTTTTACATACTGGAATAATGTTTCTAACTGATATAACTGACCCACTTTTTTCTTGCTTTGGAAAATTGTTTATAAAAAAACTAGCCTGTGGTTGTTTGCATTAACTCTTCACTAAGTATCTACAGGCAACTCCCAAGAGCCTTGTAAAATCAAATGCATCAAAAGAAAGGCTCAGAAGCACAGATGGCTTTTGACAAGAGCCTTACTGGACAGAAGCTGTTTTAGAGGCAATGACGGAGCTGCCCTATTGTTTTGCCTACTTGTGTCGCTGCCAGGTAATGATGACTCCGACATTGACATCCAGGAGGACGATGAATCCGACAGTGAACTAGAAGAGAGACGGCTGTCCAGGCCACGGACAGCCATGGAGGCACTCTTGCAAGGTACCACAGTGGCTCTTGCTTGCCCTCCGCCCCATGCCCTGTCACAGGAATTGGCGACCGGGATTGGGTCAGGGCTCCTTGGTTTCGAGGCCCGTAAGCACACTGCCCTGTTGTTTATCAGGATTTGGCTCTTTTTTTTTTTTTTTTTTTTAACATCTTTATTGGAGTATAATTGCTTTACAATGGTATGTTAGTTTCAGCTTCACAACAAAATGAATCAGTTATATATATACATATGTTCCCATATCTCTTCCCGCTTGCGTCTCCCTCCTTCCCACCCTCCCTATCCCACCCCTCCAGGCGGTCACAAAGCACCGAGCTGATCTCCCTGTGCCATGTGGCTGCTTCCCACTAGCTATCTACCTTAGGTTTTGTAATGTATATATGTCCATGCCTCTCTCTCGCTTTGTCACAGTTTACCCTTCCCCCTCCCCATATCCTCAAGTCCATTCTCTAGTAAGTCTGTATCTTTATTCCTGTTTCACCCCTAGGTTCTTCATGACATTTTTTTTCTTAAATTCCATATATATGTGTTAGCATACGGTATTTGTCTCTCTCTTTCTGACTTACTTCACTCTGTATGACAGACTCTGGGTCTCTCCACCTCATTACAAATAGTTCAGTTTCATTTCTTTTTGTGGCTGAGTAATATTCCATTGTATATATGTGCCACATCTTCTTTATCCATTCATCCGACGATGGACACTTAGGTTGTTTCCATCTCCGGGCTATTGTAAATAGAGCTGCAGTGAACATTTTGGTACATGATTCTTTTTGAATTATGGTTTTCTCAGGGTATATGCCTAGTAGTGGGATTGCTGGGTCATATGGTAGAACCCTCTTACACTGTTGGTGGGAATGTAAATTGATACAGCCACTGTGGAGAACAGTATGGAGGTTCCTTAAAAAACTACAAATAGGGCTTCCCTGGTGGCGCAGTGGTTGAGAATCCGCCTGCCAATGCAGGGGACACGGGTTCGAGCCCTGGTCTGGGAAGATCCCACATGCCGCGGAGCAACTAGGCCCATGAGCCACAACTACTGAGCCGGCGCGTCTGGAGCTTGTGCTCCGCAACAAGAGAGGCCGCGATAGTGAGAGGCCCGCGCACCGCGATGAAGAGAGGCCCTCACTTGCCACAACTAGAGAAAGCCCTCGCACAGAAATGAAGACCCAACACAGCAAAAATAAATAAATTAATTAATAAACTCCTACCCCAACATCTTCTTTAAAAAAAAAAAAAAAACTACAAATAGAACTACCATATGACCCAGCAATCCCACTACTAGGATTTGGCTCTTAAACTGGTCAGTGGTCATCTTTGCTGCTAATACTCTTACCTTTGGCCCCAAGAATAGCCAGTCTTATTTATGGTTTGGTACTTCTCACAGAGGTCACATAACACACTGCCTCTGCTGATCAGCTGAATTCTGCCCTTTTTGGGTCCAGACTGCTCTCAGTGCAGTTACATCCCTTATGGTCAGAGAACTAATGCACAAATAAGGGACTTACATGAGCATCTGTGCTATTAAAAAAAAAGTTCTTCTGGGAATTCCCTGGTGGCCCAGTAGTTAGGACTCTGTGCTCCCACTGCAGGGGGCACAGGTTTGATCCCTGGCCAAGGAACTAAGATCCCCCATGCTGTGAGGTGTGGCCAAAAAAAAAAAAAAAGGTTCTTCTAGTTTCTACCTTCTTACTGCAAAAGGTTCAAGCAATAACATACGTGGAGCAAATGTGGGTGCTCCCCTGGGGTCTTCCTCATGTCCCACACCCTCACCTACATGGGTCATGGCCAGTGGCTTGGGGTGTGTCCTTCCAAATTACCTTTCCACACATTTACAAGTGTGCACTTGTGAGCGCGCACACACACACACACACTCAGGTGTGGACACAAAGATCACCTGAAACATTTTTTAACCTAAATGGGACCAGATTGTGTGTGGTCTGTACTTGCTTTTTAAAATTATTATTAAATATACTGGAACCTTTTCCATGTCAGTAAAATATAAATTTGCTTCATTCTTTCTGATAGCTGCATAGTATTCCATCCTGTGGCTGTACCCATAATTTATTTGGGCATTCCATATTGATATATATTTAAGTATTTCCACGCTTTCCTTTGTATGTACATCTTTCTGCATATGTGCAAGTGTTTTTTTAGGTTGCATCATTAAAAGTGGAATTCTTAGGTCAAAGGTTATATAAATTGTTATTTTGATAGATACTAAATTGCCCTATATTTGCCTATAAAGCATTTCTACTACCTGTTAATTTTTGGAACAAAATTACATTTTTATGTATATAATACTTCTAAGTCGTAAATCATCTTTATTGTTTTATATTAACTTCTGTATTAACTGCTTTCTCTTATAGGCTCAGCTATTTTTATTTATTACATTTCATTTTTTTATAGGATAATTAGATGCTCTGATTCCTTTCTCTTCCTTTTATTTTTTAAGAGCTTCATGATATAAATAGAGGTTAGAGGTTATGACTCCCATTCTGCAGATGGGGGCCAAGGCTCTAAAAAGGTATGGAATTGGCTCAATAGAACATAGTAAGGGCACTGGTTTCCTAAATCCTCCTGCTGACCACTCAGCCTGCAGAAGTAAAGTCACAGGGTTCGTTTCCAAAAACTATAAATAAGTTCTTCAAACAACACAAGAGTTGCATTTTATCTGACCAAGGGAGCGTGTCCATAAACAGCTCTTGACGGCCATCTCCAGGCCTGCCCTGAATGAGCTCCTCTGAGCTCCCTTCGCTGCCTTTCTTCTGAGGCCTGGCCCTGGCATCACCGGTGGCCGTTTTTCAGCCTTCAGGTATGTGCAGCCCTCTGCCTTCACCCAGCAAGGATGGCTCTTGAGTTTTTGCAGAAGTCTCATCTAGACAACATTGACTTCCAGAGGAGGAGGGGAGAATCACTTAGATAATGATGGTGTTTTGAAGGATAAATTAATGTGATACTTAAATTTTTTTACTTTTTGGAGCTCAGACGTAGATCCAAGTACAAGTGACACTGGCCCATAAAAGGAGAATATATTTCTTTTTTCAACAGAGAGCACATCTGTTCTATTGCATGTATACTAATAATGGGATTCAGTGATTTTTACCTAAAATATTTACAGGATGCATATTTATTTTTCTGATTTATGATTTGTGCTTATATTTTAACGCCCTTTTCCTCTTTTTCAAAGTGGACATGCAGAAAATCTATTACTATCACAGTTCTGATTAGCTGGATGCTACTTAAGTCAGTTTTTTGTTTTTATTTTTTTTTAAGTATTTATTTACTTATTTTATGTATTTGGCTGTGCCGGGTCTTAGTTGCAGCACGTGGGATCATCGTTGCCTCGTATGGGATCTTTATTTGTGGCATGCAGGATCTTTAGTTTTGGCATGCATGTGGGATCTAGTTCCCTGACCAGGGATTGAACCCAGGCCCCCTGCATTGGGAGCACGGAACCTTAACCACAGGACCACCAGGAAAGTACCTACTTAAGTCAGTTTTTTTTTTTTCTTAAGTCAGTTTTTTAATGTGATTCTTCTTTTTCCCAGTTTTCTAAAGGAAAGCAAATCTTGAAGGCCGTTTCCTGTCCTGTATCCTACAAGGTTTTCATACTCTCTTCATGCTTTTGTTCTTCTCAGGACGACCCAGCAAACACGTTGTGGGCACAATGCATGGTGGAGACTCGGACGACGATGTGAGTCCCGACCAGCTCCCTGAGCTGTCCTGGTCTTGGCCATCTTGGGCCAGCCTCGTAGGCTAGTTTGGCCAAGAAGCTAAGTGTATCTGACCAGTTTAGCACGAGGTGCTGCTTCTCAGCCCGGCCCTTTGCTGGGTTTGTGGCAGAGTTCGACCTCCCAAGGAGCTAGACTCTCTTCTTTGCTAGTTGTTGGCTCATTTCTTTTCTTTTCAAATGAACGTGCTTGCCCTACTTTTTTTTTTTCTTCTCATTGTTCTTTCCATTCTCACTTTCCAAAGATGGAAGCAGCACCAGCTCTCTTAGGTAAATGCAAGACTTCCAGCTCCAAGAAACAGGTTGGTTTTCTTTTTCACCTCCATTTGTGTGTGTGTGAGTCACTTAAGGTCAGCAGAGAGCCTTCCACAAGAGTGATGCCTTGTGTCTGGGGCAAGAAGCCACTCACATGGGTTCCACAGTGAGTGGTGAAGTTACCTAGAGGTCCCTGTGCTAATGAGGAGGCAGGGTGAACACTGAGCCAAGAGACAAGGAAGGTTATCAGGCCCCTGGACTGTAACCTAGAAGAGAAGGGATTCTGCTGAGGGCCGGGGTCAAGACCAGGCTTTTCTTCAGCTCCATTCTGGGGAGGGAAGCTGAAAGGCAGGCTCTCTCTCGAGACCAGGACCCGGAGTGTGACATCAGGTTGCTGATGCCTTGAGCACTGTTGAGTGGATAACTGACTGGGAAACCAGTGGAATGGGGAACCAAGGCATCCTTGCTGGGGTCCAGTTATTTGGGCAGCACCGTCCATCGATCTGGGCGTGCCTTCTTTGTTGAGTCCCTGGCAGGGCTGTGAGGCCCAAGAGGCAAAGGTGACTGGACCGTTGGAGATCACAGACTTCCCATCAGGCTGAATGCCATGTGTGTCTGGAGCACGGCACTAGTGCATCACATAGCGTGGGCTGATATTCTTGTACAACAGTTCCATTTATTAGATACCAATGGTGAATACTTTTAGAGAAATTCACAGGAGGGGAGAGGTCACTCAGATTTGCTGGGCAAGATGCACAGAGAAGATAGGGCCTTGAATTCATAGAAGACAGTCTGTAGAGAAGCAGAGAGACTACCTCCAAAATTTTTTTAACAAAGTAGGGGATGGATGGCTAAATAGCTTCTATCCATCCATCTTACCCATCTGAGACAGAATTAGGGAAAGTCTGGTGTGGAAACTCATGACACTGGCCTCTTTTCTTATGATTTGTTTGATCATTTGTATAGCTTTCTACTTTTCTGAGTAAATGCCTTATTTGTAGCTTAAAATCTCCTCTGTGCCTGTTGCCACTTATTTATCTCAAGGAGGCTGTTTCCACACATCCCCCTGGGCTTAGGGGCTTGTCCTTCACCTGTTCACTCATTCACTTGCCAGGTCCTTGTTGAGTGCCTGTTACGTACCAGGCACCGTTAGGGGTTAGGGGAATACAGCAGTGAACAGAACAAAGCCCCTGCCTTCTTGAGGCTTACATTCCAACGGTCATCAAGCAGATGCATCGGGGTCATGGTGATAAGAAAAATAAAGCAGGTTCAGGGGACAGAGTGACAGGGATGAGGGAGGAGGTCGATGTCTTCTGATTTGTCAGGGAAGGTCTCTGATTAGGTGACATTGGGCAGGGGGCTGAGTGGTAGGAGGAAGGTGATGCTGCGGTGGGGCAGTGAGGACTAGGAAACGTGGTTCCTGAATTCGAGGGCCGGAGGCGGCAGCGTGACTGGGAGTGAGCGAACTGGGGCAGGAGCAGCAGGAGAGGCAGCAGGGGCCACGCACAGCTTTGCAGGATGTGACGAGGGCTTGTGCTCTCTGAGTGTAGCGGAGAGGTGCTGGAGACCCAGGAAAGCTGACCTGAGTTTCAGAGGAACCAGGTGGGGGCATTTGTAGGGGTCTAATTCAGAGTGAGGCTGGCGGTAGCAGCAGACTGGTGAGAAGTGGTCAGATTCTGGATGTTTCTAAGGTGAGAACCATTAGGTTTTGTTAATTGGACATGAGGTGTTAGAGAAAGAGAGAGATGCCCTGGTTGTGGCTTAATTGGCTGAAAGCATAGTTTTCATTTCCTGAGGGGGGCAGACCTGAGGAAGGGACTTGAGAGCAGATCAAGAGTCTGGTTTTGGACATTCTCAGTGTGAGCTGCCTGCTAGATGTCCACATGCTGGTGTTGAGGACTTCAAGGGTCAGGTCTGATCTGGAGATTGAATTTGGGGGAGCCATCCAAAGACCACCATGAGGATAGATGTGATTGCTCGGGGAGAGAGTAGAAAGGGAGGAGAGGAGGCCCAAGGCCGACCCTGTATTGCAGAGGTCAGGGCGAGGAAGCCGGTCAGGCAGGCTCTACCGAGAAGACAAGGAAGTGAGGTGGGGCGAGCACCTGAGAGGAGGGGGCCTGGAGCACAGGAAGGGGGTTCTGGGGGACGAGGAGCAGTCCTGTGTCAGATGCAGCCATGGGTCAAACAGGAGGCCGGAGAATTACCCATAGGATCTGAGTCCATTGAACGTTTCAGTCTTGGGGGACTTGGGTGGGGGGGTGAGAGCCTGGCTAGTGGGTGCTTAGAGGGCAGCAAGAGGAGAGCCAGCAGGGATAGCGTGAGTGCAGGCTCGTTCAGGGGGTTTGCTGTGAGGCCACAGGAGAACAGGGCAGAGTAGCTGCAAAGGAAGGTGGGGTTACATTTTAGGGTTTTTTATTTTGTGTTTTTAAGAAGAAGGAGATTGCAGCATGTATGTGTGCAGGTGGGAGTGGTCTCTATAGAGTGACTGACCATCCTGGTTTACTGGGGATACGGGACTTGCAGTATGAAAAAGCTGGTTGAGTTGGTCACCCTGATCTAGATGTTGAAAGAGAGAATGTCTTTTATTTTGCTCCTTACACCCATTTCCTGAGTGGCTTTCTATCCAAAAGCCCAAATAAGCAACCCCCACCAAGCCCCTGCCCTTCTTGCTGTCCACAGGTGGGTCTCTGGGCCTCCATTGAGCTTCTGTGCACATCCAGTGGTGCTCCTGAGACGGCGGCGGGAAAGCCACCTTGCAGCTCCAGCCTTGGCTTGCCTGTTGGTGTTTGAGGGTTACTGGTTGGAAGACACATTTATATATGTTTTTCAGCCGGCAGTATATAGACACTGGCCCTGTTCTTATACCCCCACAGCCTGACTGCTACTCTGGCAAGCTCTTCCTTCATGTGGGTGTTGCTGGTTATTGAGCAACTAGTAAAAAAGCAAGGTAGGGTCTCTGCTGACATGATGTCAGTAGCAGGACGGGACCCTCAGCTGTATTTGCTGTCTTTTCCTGTAGGAAGACTCAGAGGACAGTGAGATTGACATGGAGGATGATGAAGACGATGATGATTTGGAGGACGAGAGCATTGCTCTCTCACCAGCTAAGCCCAGTCAAAGAGTCCGGAAACCTGAGCCCCTGGATGAGAGTGACAATGACTTCTGACCTTCTTGCCAAGGGACCCAGGCAGATTGAAAACCCTCAGATTTGTAGGTAAAGGGGAAATTAAAGGGTCAGAAGGAAATAGGCATTTTGTTAGATAAGCCAGCAGGACTCATTGTTAATGAAGCAAAACCTGTTTCCGCTTTAGCCTCCTGTGTGTTACTCTACACACTCCAAAGCTTAAACAAGAACCGGAGCAAACCCCAAAGATGATTTTTTTTCCCTTATCTATCTCCTAAAACTTGGGGAATGCATGTGTTCTTAGTGATGCACATCCACAGCACAAAACCTTGAGAAATAACAGCCAACGCTGTGTAAGTCTTGCCCATTATTTTTGTCATACTTTTCCTCTAAAAGTCAGCCGGACCTTCGAGTCCAGACCTGGGGCTAGAACTGGGCACAGGACTCATTTCAGGAGTTGTGGGGGAGTGTCTCATCACATACAGTTCAGAATGTTTATTTTAGATCAGCTTTTGATTCTAGCCTTTATTTTCTTTCTTCTGCATGCTCACCAAGCTTTAATACCAAGCTTTAATAAAGCTTTAATACCAAGCTTTAAATGTATTTTACTAACTAAAATTTTCTGAAGGAAAGTCAGCTAACTCAGATGAAAACTAGCTTTTCTTGAAAATCAGGCAACAGATCGATGCTCCAGATCATATATACTACATTTTCTCTCAGAAGGCTGACATTCCGCCTTAGGAAGGAGCAAATTTAGGAAAAAGTTTTGGTACGGATTCATGTTTCTGACCTAAAAAAAAAAACCAGAATTGAATTTGATGGAATAGCACTAGAAGAATTTCCCTTCTGTGAAAGAAGTGACAGATAGGTGGAGTTTGGTTTTGTCTTGTTAATATGGAAAGCACAGAGTTTTCATTGATTTCTCTTATAAAGTCAGATGACTTGTGAAGTTCTCTCTTAATAAATTTATTTAATACCATATTTTTATATTATTGTTTTATTTGAAAGTATAATTATTTATTTGTACCATAACATATACATACTTGTTCAAGAAGAGTTCATGGGTTATTATATTACATGTGAATTTCAGGAGACTATGTGACAGTTATTTCTATCTTTGCTTTTTTCTCTGTCTTTCCCTCAATTTTACATAAGAGATTACCCCCTTTTTATAAAAAAACATTCAGCATTCAGTTAATTCACCAGTAATTTGAGATGTGCCATCTTTGAAACGATAAGCTAACAGGGAAGAGGTGTATCGGGAGCCACATTACCTCCTCAGATGCTGTGGCTTTTAAGGCACAAGAGAGTCATTGCATCTCCTTGAATGACATAGCTTTGGTTTACCTGAGTCTGACCTGACTTTTATTTTAAAAAACAAAAACTATATTTCTGTTTCCCTTATGTGATGCTTTCTTCTAATGGGCATTAACATGGGAGCCCAACCCAAACCACAGATAACACGTCCACAGGTGGAGGCAAGAGCTGCAGCGGCTAGTCATTGTCTCACCTGCTTCTTGTCATCCCTCATCCCTTGATTAACTGACTTTGTGCAGAGTCTTGCGTGGTCTGATGTTTCCTTACTTGAGCAGCGTCTTTCAACAAAGGAGCTTCAAGTATGGATCGTAATTATTAATGTACTTCTGTTGCTCTGAGAGATCCGGGAGTCAGATGTGTGCAGGAGCCTTACGATTTGGTGTCATTTGGTTTTGGTCAAGCAGCAGAGCAGACTCAGGCCCCAGAGAAGATTGTGTGATTAGGTCAATGAAAAACTAGCTTTTAGATCATTGCTGACAGCTTTTTTTGTTTTTTTGCTGTGTAATCAAAGGACCTCTTAAAATGCTTTAAAATACATGTATTGGCAGAAAATGTAAAGGAACTTTTTAAGTCCTCAGTTTTTATTGGTGGGGATAACCATCAAGGATGTCCATTGGGAATTCTGAAGAACTGTTTCCCTTTTATCTGGGGCAGGAAGAAGAAATACAAGATATCTTTCACTAGTATTTTAAACTGTAACATCAGTGTCAAATGTCTGAAAGGAAGGTGTGTCCCTTTAGGTTAGCAGCATACTGCATAAATATCACAACTGTTAGATTGGCCCAGGGGACTCATGTGTGCTAGAACAAGGGACTGGCTGAATTGGAAGTCAACTAAAAGCTTCTGCCTCCTACCCAGAACAGAAGTCCTTTCTATAAGGATGCGACTGGAGCAGGAAGACAAAGGGCTCAAGAAGTAATGTCATTAGGGGAAAATGGAACTGACAGGATAACCGATATGGCTGTAGGAAACAGTATTCAGATTTTACTTTTCTATTAGATCGTTTGGAAAAATTAGGCAGTAGTGACATAGAAAGTTTAAAATGATGCAACTTTTAATTTTAGAAAGGACAATAAATTATATAGGAAGAAAATGGCTCAGCGGTGATCATCAGTAGTAATAAAATCATAAAATAAACACTAAATAATGATTTACCCAAGAATCATGCTGTAACTGTATTGGAAGGATGGAGAAACAGAAAGTGGGGACATACAGTGATACATGTACAAGTGTCATTTCCCATAATAGAAAGTTAATAGATAATCTCTAAAATGATAAAACAAGAACTAGTGTATGTATGACATTTAGCTTTGGGGTGGAGAGGTATTCAGGAAAGGGAGGAATAGGACAGGAGATTGTTCTTTCCCATTATAAGCCTAGTACTCTGACTTTTTAAACTGTGTATTACTACAATTTTGTCCTGATGAAAATGAATTTTTTGAAAAGATAAATGTACAGGCAGGAAAGGGATGAGGGCTGGAGATTCAGGTTTGAGAATCATTTGTGTATAAGATTCCTCAGGGGAGAACACGTGGGATGAGAAGAGAGCTAAGGGTGGAAGCCTGAGAAACGCCTGTGTCTAAGGGGCGAGTCCACAAGGAGCCAGGAGAGACTGGGAAAGTATTTTCTAGATTTTCTAAAGTGAATGTATTTTTCCTTTAATAATCAGGAGAAATACGTTTAGTTTTTCAAAGAGTGGTAATGAGAAGGTGGAAGGATTGGAAGATGGTAATGTTATGGAATCCAGGGCAGGGGAGAATTTCCCAAGAAGGGAGAGGTGAACAATGTGAGGTCCTTGCTATAAGTGAGCTTGAGTCAGAGAAGTCACTGAAATGGACAGTTAGGAAATCTCTGGTGACCTCAACAAGGAAAAGCAAGATAGCAGGTGAGGGTTGAAGAGAGGTTGGGATTTGAAGTGAGTATTGATGACTATTTAGAAAGTGGGTGGTCATAAGTGAAAAGGGAAGGCAGAGCCAGGGAAGAGTGGGATCAAAGAACATTTTGGAGGGGCAGAGGGCCTTTTTTTTTTTTTTAAAGAGGAAAATGAACATGGCTTTTTAACTGAAGGGAACTAGCTTGTGGAATGAGAGGGGTTGAGTCTGTGGGAGAGAGAGAGGGAGGGAGTGACTGTGTGTGTAACGATGAAGCAAAGTTTGCATTAGGAGCCATTCTGCTTAAATATGTGTTGTATATTGAAAACATATACACCAGATAACCATTTGGGTTGGTGCTGCTATTTGGGGTAAGAAGGCTAAGGCTGATTTCATGGTCTTTTACACCTGGATTTCTATAGTGTCGATTGTAGATACGGCCCAAAACAGTTCTCTTGACTTGGGCATCAGGTAGAGTACCCAGAATACTGAGACATTGCCTTAGAAGTTGAGTCAAAGTAGCCCTAGACTAAAGGATGACTGATCCTGACTAGCAAATCTTCAAAGCAAGTTTTGAAAGGCTCCAACTGTTTCTAGGTAATTGTGTCCCAGAATAAAGCTCAAGAATATTTTAAGGAATATGAAAATAGTCAATACCCAACAAGATAAAATTTTCAATGTCTGGGATCAAATCAAAAATTACCAGGTATAATAAGAAAAGTCAAGAAACAGACCAAGAAATGACACAAAAATGACAGTTGATAGAATTAGTAGAAAGGGACGTTCAAACAGTTATAACTATATTCCATATATTCAGACAGTAGAGGAAAGCATGAGCAGGTTGTGAGATACGGAAGATGGAAAGAAAATCTCACACAGTACTGCTAGAGATTTAAAAAAATGAGAGGACAACTGTGCAAGCTGAGATTAATATCAGATTAGACACTGCAGAAGAAAACATTACTGATCCTGAAGACACAGGGCATGTTTGTCCAAAATGGAATACAAAAAAGACCCCCAAAATCCCATTGTGTTGATTATCAATTTATTGCCTCAGCTCCAAATTCACCTTTTGGCCTGCTCTGTGATAGTGGAGCTATTCGTTGTAAATATCTCTCCTTTGCTAGCCAGCAAGATGTTAAGCCTGTCAGTAGAGTGCTAGAGAGACTTTGAAGGAGAGAAGAGGGGCCTTTACTTCCAATTCCCAGTGTGGCTGGCTTTCGAAGTTCCTGGAGAGCACACTTTTTTCTCCACTGCTTTGGCCCCTGAGTTTTCTCCAGTGCTAGGTTCCTGCAAAGGCACAGCTTTCTCTAGCATTTGGCTACTGCAACTACTGTCTGTCACATTCTCAACTTAGCCAGAAACAGTGCAAACCAGAAGATAGTATAGCAACATCTTGAAAGTGCTGAAAGAAAAAACTGTCACCCTGGAATTCTATACCCAGCAAAAATATCTTTCAAAACCAGTAATCCAGTAAAGACTATAACTAGACCTATGTTCAAATGTCCCCAACTTCCAAATAATGTTCTTTATAGCTGATTTTTTCCCTCTAGTCTAGCATGCAATCAAAGATCTTAAGTTGTTATGACTCTTTAATAATATCCTTTCGTTTAAAATAGTCCCCAGCCTTTTGTATTTTTCATGATGTTGACGTTTTTTAAGAGGTCAGGCTAGTTTTTCCTTTTTTTTCCCCAGAATGCCCCTCCATTTGGATTTTGTCTGACTGTTCATTCATGATTAGATTCAGGTAGACATTTTTGGCAAGCATAAAATAAGTCAGTGATGTGTCCTTCTCAGTGCATCACACTGGGGGCACATGGTGTCCATTTGTCCCATTATGAGTGATGTTAAGTTCAATCACTTTGCTAAGGCAGCATTTGCAAAATGTCTTTTTTTTAAAAATAAATTTATTTATTTTTGGCTGTGTTGGGTCTTCATTGCTGTGTGCAGGCTTTCTCTAGTTATGGCGAGCAGGGGCTACTCTTTGTTGTGGTGCACGGGCTTCTCATTGCAGTGGCTTCTCTCGTTGCGGAGCACAGGCTCTAGGCATGTGGACTTAGTAGTTGTGGCACGTGGGCTCAGTAGTTGTGGCTCGCGGGCTCTAGAGCTCAGGCTTGGTAGTTGTGGCACACAGGCTTAGTTGCTCCGTGGCATGTGGGATC